TGGATTGCCGGCTTCGATTTGCCACCGATACCCTGTTTCGGTTGCCATGGGGATGATGGCCATTGCCATGACCAGCGCCCCTACGGCAATGACACCCAGAAAGATGGGTTGCGATAATCGCACAACACCGCTTTGATTTCTATGTTTCCATGTCCACCCCAAGAAGAATAGCGACAAACCAGCCTGAATGGCCACCATGGAATAGCCCACCCGAACGATTCCCGAGTTTATGAATCCCATATCTTCAATGGGAATCTTCTCCTTGCACGTGGCGTTGGTCCCCTTGGTAGGAAGCGAAGTGAGGGGCTCTGGACAAACACAGGCCCCGTCGGGTTGACAAGTCCCATTGTAAAGCCTTTGGCAAGGCGACAGCAGAAGACAATCCCGTTGTTCCCATGTTGGCATCGGATAGACGATGCCAAAAGGTGAATTCGGCGACGCTCTTTCACGAGGGTAGATTACATGAAGATTTTGTGCACCATCGTACTGCAACAACAAGGAGGGTACCTTGCCCTGACCATTGTTATCGAAAGATACGTCACCAAACACGGTAGTAAAGGTGTCACGTGTCAATATTTGTCGGATTCGCTCTTTGTCTTGAAACGAATCGGCCCGTTCCATGGCCTGAACCATGATGCTTATTGCAGCACTTTGTGAGGGAGGGTGATAGGAAGAATTGCGAAAGGCTGCCTGTTCAATCAATTTGGCGAATTGGGCAGGGGTCCATCTAGTAATGGCATCTGGTATGGGTTTCAGCGCCTTGTCCCACAAGGTAACTCCCATCATGTAATTAAGATCTGTTTTTGAAATGGCTTCCAGAGTGGAAGACCCAATACATGCTGAGAATATTTGTGCCTTGGGTTGCCATTTGACAGTTCTCATGGCAGAAATCCAATCTGCGCAAGTGTTGGGTTGCAGGACGCAAGTAATGACAACATCCGGGTTGAGCTCGGCCATATTTTCCGCCGCCTGGACAAAATGCGACGATGAGGAGTTGGATGGGAGAGTAATGCTGCCTACATATCGCATGTTGAAGCGTTGAGAAAAGTTGGGTATCCCGTCGCACAGTGTGGCGCCATCTTCTTGCAGAGTTGCCACCGTTTGAGCTCCTCGTATTCTTGTAGCATAAAAGGCCCAATGGAACTGATTATCTCCAGGCGGAAAGGTCCCAAAGACATTTGGTCTATTGGCATAAACGGAAGTTTGCGAAGCTCCTGCAGCGATCAGCAGATTGTCGGATTCTTGTGCTATGGGTGCAGTGTGTTGTGTCAGCGTTGACGAGAATCCAGCTGTCCACAGGTGAGCAGCATTGGACCTTGCCATATACCGACTAATGGCCTGTACTTTCACCGGATCCGAGTCGTCGGAATAAGTCAAAAGCCTCAGCGAGTAGTTTCCACTGGATAAGTGGACTCCGCATCGGGGATAACGGTTGATATGGTCGATCGTCATAATGGCCGACTCCAACATTTGAATGGAAATGTCGTAGAAGCGGTCTTGCACTCCTGTGGAAGTGGCATGGCCAATGATGATTTCATCCGTGTAGTTACAGCCGCGAACGGCGTCGGCTTGATTTAGCACTTGGCCATTTTCGTCAATCAAAACCACACCACCACCAGATGAAGAATTTGCCTCCACTCCTCGACTCTGTACCAACAGTGTGGTAGCATGGTTGCTACTGCTCGAGATGAAAGGTACCTGCCATAGCAATATCAAGGAAATAAACAGCATTGACCGTCTCAAGAAACCCATCGCTGTTGGTGTTGGTATCCTACCCATGCCCCCACCGCCATGGGCAACGATGGATGTTTCAGTTGCCATGGTCGAAAAATGCATAATAAGGGTGTAAGTTCACTTTTGCCACCCGGACAAGCGATTTTGTGCCGCTCCATTTCGCCGATCGGAAGAAGTAAGTCTTAGTAAGTGTTGATTCGGTTCTGGGGTCGCACTACATATAAACAACAACGACAGCGTTCAAGCAAGGTGTTCTGACGCGTGCATACCCACAAGAATACACCCTTTTGACGTGGTTTTATTAACAACATAAATGTCAGTGCCGTTAGTTTTGCCAGTAACAATCCAGAGCAGTGCCAGTTTTAACGCAGAAAGATTTGTTTAGAGGTTTTCACCAGTTGAAGTTGAAGACATAGAAGAAGTCTCTTCCTTTAATCCTCCTTCAGCTGTCACTGTAAGCTTACTGTACCGGTACCATCAATGCCCTCGCAACTCGCAAACTCGGATGCAGAAGTGGTGCAGAAGTCAGCGGTACGAGTAGCTATTATAATACAGCTCTAACTTATTTTGTTTGAAAATAGGGGTACTCGTATCTTGTCTGGGTTGTGAGGAAGGTAGATAGATGTGGGCAGTGCTGCTTCCTACTTTCTACATGTACTTGATAGCTACAGTATCGTACAGTTCTGATGATTGAAGATGTTATCCCTGGGTTTTTCCTGTAGGCCTCGTTCATCCATTTGGCTAAGAGTCCAAAAATGGAAGGTCCATTTCAAAAAGTGCAGAAGACCAAGAACAATCCTTTGTATTTTAGAAGAGTCAGGGTCACTTTGTGATGGCAACGACACTACCAGTAGAAGCCGCAATGATGACAGCGTTGGGAATGATGATGTGGTGGCCTACAATTCTCACAACAACAGTCCATCCCTCCAAAGAATGGCCTACGATTATCAAGACGAAGGCAGGTGCACTTGCAGGTGAATTCAATCATCAGTAACACAAACAGAGCTACCATGCCAGAGTTGAGTTGGTCTACTAGCGGTACTTCCCATGCCGGTTCTGCAGTTGTCCTCCGCTTGTCCGCTTAGAACGAAAAAGTGATCTCTAACCTTATTTTTCGTGGAAGAATCGCCTAAACGACCCACTCGACTAAAAAGCGAGAACCTGACTGCAGCCACCTTCCGCAGCAAAACCGTTTCATGTCGGTGGCCATCGAGGGTCTTTCGTTGTGGTCAATAGCGAAATACACAGGCATCTACAGCCAAAGACCAGGGCAAATCACCATTAGTATTGTTGCAGTCCATTCCATTAATTTTCTCCAGAAAGCTGCCAATTCATACTTTACAGCTTTGCATTCTCCCTCTCTCCCAAAATCCAGATTTCGCTGTGTTTGTTATTGTTCTGTATTAACCAGGAAGCAATCGAGCCACGATGAAGAGGAATCACTCAAGTTCCCGTCACGGTTCTATTGTTAAATTATTTCCATTGGTCACCGTGGAGTGCCTTTTGGGTCTCTTATTAGTGCTGATATCGAGCTGCCGTGGACAGGATGATTGGCCCATGGAGGTTGTGGTTGCAGGTGGATTGGATGATCCCTTTCCAGGTCGCGTCGCAGGGTTTGGGAATCACAGACCATCGACTCTATTTCTAGACAATGTCAATCTGATCATCCCCCCTCCCAGCGCGTCGCATCTCTGTCGATTCCCAGAAGAAGCGTGGGCGACGAATCCATGGCTTGCCGAAGAGGAAGCGCTCGTCAATGGCACGCTACCGGCATTACAGAACAATATCACTACGACGAACGTGACCCTGTTGGAAGAAGAAATTGAAATTGAGCCACAAGTCATGGCACGCGACAATATGAATGTGGCACTCTTTGTTTCCTACGGTGGATGTCAACCATCCCAAAAAGCCCGAGTGGCGGCGGCTCTACGACAAAATTTCACACGCTATGGGACCGTGACGCACTTGCTCATTTACAACAATAATCGAAACGCCGAGAGCATGGACGATCTCCACACGTTAATGACCTTTGTGGACGACAAGGAATTCAGAGATATTGGAATCATCTTTGTCAGCACAAGATCGGGAGTCGACATTATGGAAGCCATCGAAACGGAAGAAACCAGACAACGAATTGCCAGTCCCTTTTTCTTTGCCGACGGAAACGAGTTATGGTACTTTCCAGTTTCCTTCCGGGAAATACAATTTGACAAGTACAGCGGCAGTGGCGGACCATTGGGAGGAGGAAGCTCTGGCAGTGGCTTTAACAGCGACGGTGATCCTTACAGTGGCAACAATTTCGATCCGCAACAGTACCCGCCCGCACAGCGAAATGTCCACAATCCGGACACGGACGACTTTTACTGGTTCCGACTGATTGTCTTTTCCATTCTCGTCGTATCGCCCTGTTTTAGAGCGGCATATCTATGGTATGCGGGTGGAGCACGCATTCGGTTTCGGTACAATGAAGACGGAAGAGTGGTGGGGCTGCAATACATACCGCCCATGCCCTACTGGTTCTCACCAAGGCCGGAAGAGCCGTATGTGCCGACAGCCACACGAATGACGCCAGAAGAAGTCCTGGCACTCCCGGAAGTTGTCTATGAAGGATCACCTTGCTCCGATGACGAAGAAGAAGAAGAAGAAGACGACCAACCGGTGATTGTTCCAACCAACACAGAACCAAAGACGGAAATTAGTGACGCACCCGACCACAACAATTCTACAACGGATCTGTCCGAATCGACAACCAAAACCCCGACAGCAGCGTTGTCGGAAATTGACAATATGACCTCTTCGGAGACTGTGAGCCATGCCGCAACAACTGACGAGGAACAAGGGAGGTCGACGTTTTCGGGAGGAATGCAGTCCACGTGCTCCATCTGTATTGATGATTTTGAACAAGGAGAGAAATTACGAATGCTACCACGTTGTCGACACATGTTCCACACAGAGTGTATCTTGCCATGGCTCACGGAAAGACAAGGCTGCTGTCCTCTCTGCAAGGTGGAGGTCATTGAACAGGAACCCAGGGAACAACAGACCCTTGTCCAAACCACACATGATCATGATCCCACGGAAACATTCCAAAATGAAGAAGGCATCGGCCAGCCGCAAAGGCCAAACTCGTTCTTGCCAAATAATACAACCACGCAGTCATCAGCCTCCGGAACAATCAGCAACAATACCACTGCGTCTGGTGCGCAAGGCAATCCCCGCGGTACGGACGAGGAAGCACAATTCGTAGATGTCGATATCGACATTGAAACCTTCAGCAACGAACTACCACAACGACAATCAACGTCTCCAAGAACAGCTTCGGAAGCCAGTAGAACCAATACTGTCTCTGTGGTGCCGCTTGAGCCGGAACGACCCCCTCCAGAAGAGACTTGTGACTTTGAGAACGAGCCAGATGAGTGTTGAAGGACACCCAAATGAGTGAGTGTGGTTGATCCAAAGCTATCGTGTGGCCTTTCCAGTAGCTATTGCGATGGTACCGTCGGCGAAGGCTGAGCCCAACAACGCTTTTGAGCATACCGTACTTGAGCGGTAATCGGAGCTGCTAAGATTCTGACTAGTCAAACGTAGCCTGGAAGTGGCCGCGGAGGCCTGATCATGCGAAGGGTTGCAGCACCGTGGTATACCCGCTTTCGATCGATACAATCAAGGAGGATGAGCTCCTCATATTGAATGTACACACAGCCAAGTCTAGCTACCGATAGCTGACCAGCAATCATGGTATTGGCTGTTGCCATTTTAAATCCCTTTAAAATTTTGGATGCCAATCTTTCTATCTATTGCCGGCTATGTCATAGGGGCGTTTTTCAAGTGTGTGTTCGTCCTTGGCAGCATCCACAATACATGCCCAAAGAAATTTTCCAGTATGAATGAACGCACCGAAGAAGGACGACGTCAAACAACTGAACTTACTTTTATTGGTGGACTACAAGTAGCAAGAATCAGCACCGAAATTCGACAAAACACATGATATCATGCAACCTCTCACACAGGTACCACCGATAGTTCTCCTCAGGCCCCCATATATATATACTACAAGTACTCTAGCACTACCGGTATAAGCATGGAAAATGGAGAAGTTACCACGGGTTAGTGTGGACAATGGTGAGGAGGGGTTGCAAAGGAGCGGGGACTGTGCAAGAGTGCAACCCCCACAACCGAGTTTGCAGATCAACGGCACAACCAAAAGAAAAGGGTGCAAAGGAGGGTGGAGAGGACAAAAGGACAAAGACGACTAGTGGAAGAGATCAAGAGGGCCTGGATCCTCCCAGCCCCTACTACTATCGGTAGCTAGAGATCTTGATAGCAGGAACACGAGAACCAGATACTAGTAGCAAAGATGGCAAGTTTTTATAAGGTTGCTGGCACGACCGGTACGTGACCGATACAGCTGCAAACCCGAAGTACCAAAGTACCATTTAAAGCTCTGCTGGCTTAAATGCTGACTGGTGGCCGCAAAGCAAGACCGGTAGCCAGAGCCAATGGCATGTTCATTTTTGAGTTGCCGAGTTGGGTTCGTCCTGTAGAGAATGTGTATAAAGCGCTGAGAACACCCACGATGCTTGCTTTTGTTGGCCGCAGAGCTAGGCGAAGATTCCCTGCTTCTTTCGACGTGCTGGGTCTATCAGTGGGTACAGTTAGGCCACATCTTTTGGATGCATTACAGGGCGAAGAAGGACGGGCCACTTCCACACCGGTATCTCAGGTCCAATATCGACAGCTCTCCGATGGAGTGTCATCAAAGACTCCTCATGTCACAGCAAGACGAAAAAATGAGCGGCGGAATTCACTCTTCGAAACCTCAAATACGAAGAAGAGCCAGAGGTCGAATGTTGGAGCCAATTCCCAATCCAGGCGGCAAGCGCCACAGAATTCCCTCTTTGAACCTAAGAAAACGACCAACAACCCTCCACCGAGAGGCGATCAACAGAAATTGACAGATCCTTCCCGATTCGAACCCCGAGCTTCTCCAAAGAGCTTGTCCAATAGCAAAATGCAAGACCTGTCTTCTGTGCAGCGTCATTTGCGCTCATTAGAGGAACGTGCCATGAGATTGAAGACAATGCCTCTTGCATTATCTGACACAACAAGTATCGACGTAAATTCCGCAGAGAGAAAAGAGCTGTTCAATGGGGCAAAGGAAATCGTGGATACCCTACGAATGGCGGTAGAACAAAAAAAGATCAATCCTTCTGGGAAACACGGACGTGCCTTATCATCCATTCTTGGCAGTATACTTGGCATCTATTCTGCGTCTTATCACGATGACAGAGACTACTCTATTTTTGAGGAATGTTTATGGGTTCTGGTGCTTCTCGACGACTGGAATCTTAACCGTCAGGAACCACACTATCAGAACGCCATTGTTGTGGGTGTGCACGAGAAGCGCTGGAAACTTGCTGCTGAGCTCTTTCTTCAACAGATCGATCGAGATGCATCTGGATTTTGCCCCATGAGCTTTGTTTCTGTCTCATCACCAGTAGGGTTGTACGCTGTTGCGAGAGATGCACAGGAATCTGGAAAGAGTGTAGTTGACTCGGTGATGGAAGCAGTCACCAGTCTGTCTCTCATCTCTCCAACAGACAAAGATCGGCGTGCGTTGGGAAAGCCCTCCTTGTTTGACCGAATGCCTACCTGTTAGGTTACAACATCTCTCACACGTCCTCTTCTCTGAACGAATTTATTCCTCATCAGACATGCTCGCCGCGGGAACGGTGAGCACCTTCATGGCCCTCCACAGTGTATGCAGTTTTCTTTGCTGACCTTTCATCTCGTTTGGTTTCGTCTGTAGGCAATCGGTCTAGCTGGCGAGTGGGAAGGTTTGGTGTCGTATCTGAAGGAGAACTCAGGTGAAGGTGTCCCTGGTCAGGTACGTCGTTTTGTACCGATGCTTACATGCAATTTACATGGATCCAGTAGCCCCTGATGTTTTCCATCGCCGGTAGCCCCTGGTTGCTGCAGCCATGCATGCATGCTTGCTGTGCAACAGGCACGAAGAGGCAAACGAAGTCTTTCGTACTCTCACGGATGGTAACCTTGCCATTTCGTCCGAGTTCCACTGGGGTGGAGGGCAAGACACCACGTTTCCGTTGTGTCGAGACTTGGCAATGCGCGCATTTGCTAAATGTGGAAGCGGCTCTGAAGCAATGGCGATGCTACGTCAAGCCCTAGAGGAGGAACGTGCTGTAAGCGAAGTTGCTCTTCATGGCGTCTTCAGCGCTTTGGAACGAGATGAAGAGTGGAGAGATGCTGTGGACTTGCTCTTTAGACTGTGGGCAGACGACACGAGTATTCATGTGGTTCCCGGTGCCGAATTGGAAATCCCTAGCGTAGAGGACACAGAACCCAATGGCGAGTTCCAACGAAGCCTTATTGATCATGGGAGCGTCTTGTCCTGCGTAATGCGGGCCTGCAACACAGCCGGTGAATTTGGAGTGGCCCTTCTTTGTTTCATGCTAGTGGATGTATCTCTGGCGAGTTCGCGGGGGCATGAAAGTTCAGGAGGAATGATGACCATGCAGGGGTTGCTTCGCGAAGTCAATGATGCCAACGAACTTCTTTCTGCAGCGATGATAGCGTTGTGCGGCGTAGAGAGCTTCGAACAAGCGCAAACTCTATTTGATCTAACAATGGAACGTGAGAATGAGTTTGACCAAACATCAGACGCGTTTGTCGAAGCCGAGCAAGTATATCACTATGCTCAAGCGTGCGCAAACTCGTCTCCAGATCAAAGGCGATGGGCTACCTGTCAACGCCACTCGGACAGGATCTTGAGAGCTCTTCGTGCAATCAGAATGAGAGGTGAACAGCTTGATCCAGACCAGCTCTATGTTTTGGGTTCAGCCTTAGCCATGGTGCTCCGTTCATGTACAGAAGCGAGTCAACCAGCAGCTGGTATCATACTTTCTGACTATGCTACAGCCGAGCTTGCTAGATTCGCTCCGAAGACCTCTGGTAGTCATTTCTCGCTGGGAGGTGAGAAGAAAGGTACGAACGAGGCCTTCTTCACTCTGATTGATGCCTACCTTGCCGAGAAAATGAAGGCGCATCTGGCAATGGACCAAAAAGCTCTGGCGCTTTCGTTGCTATCAGCAAATGTCGATGGCTTTGAGCGAGAACCAGAAAAATGGACCAGCACTAACTCTGCTGTCCTTCAGATATTGGCGGAGAGCGGCAACACAGAGGAAGCGGCTGCTTTATTTCGGCGGCACGTCGAATCAACCCGAGGCGACAACATTGATTCGTTCGTGGCAG